TGTGCCGACTCTTCACGCAACACGACCTCCGTCTTCTTCACCTTCAAGCTCACCGTTCCGATGAAATTCACGTCGACGAACCGATCTGCCAGACATTCCAGCGCCAGCTTCTCGTCGTCGTGATGCAGAGCATCAATCAACCTCTGTGAAACCTCCGCCTCAAAGTCCACTAAAACCACCGGTTTACTAGTCATACTAGAGACGCCGTGTTCTGCCATGTTGGCGCCAAAAATGGAGAGCTAACTCATGATTTATCTACAGTTGTCTCTGTAACGTTTTGGCTTGCTGGAAAAGATTTATGGTTTGCTTGGGAGAGAGGGAAGGAAAGCGTGCATAATGCATTCTTATTGGGAAATGAACGTTTTCGTTGAGATCAATGCATGTTCTGCATTTTGATGAACCTTTTATTATGATAACGTTAGAATGTTTCAAGTTGTTAAGAATTTGAAAAAATTGAAAATTTTGAGTTCGACCCTTGAACAAGTTATAGGGGATGGGAAAGTTGCAGTTGGACTGAATATTCAAAGAGAAAAAATCACTCAGGAGTCATAGACTCAGTGCTGTGTGTGTACCAAAAAAAAAAGACTCAGTGCTGTTTGTGTTTCTTCTGTTATTGAACGACAGCCGGACTTGGCCTGCTTGTCACTTTCTTTTGGACTCACTGCAAAAGCTGGACTTATTTCTACGGCATTAATTACATGCTTGGTGACAGCTAAATTGCTAATGAGTGAAGTTTAAGGCTGTGACTGTTTGTTTGTATCTCAAAATACTTGCTTGGCTGGCCTAGACCAAAATGCACAAATGTCCAATTCAGTTAGCCATTTTTTTTGGTTTAGCAGTTAGCTATTTTCGGCTTGTTAATGCATATTTTGAAACTAATCTTCTATTGATTCAATCAAAGGTTAGGTATTCATATTAAAATTAAGAAATTCATAAGAAATTATTTTTTTATTAATCTCTCAAAATAATCAAATTTTAGTCAATATGATAAAGAGTAAATTCTCTCAGCAAGTAAGTCATAACTCATTGAGTCACTTAACCAATTTTTAGTTAAAAATTTTACAAAAATGATTTGTTTGCAACACTATATGATGATAATCTAATAAACTTATTTGTTATTTTTCTAATTTCGATAATATTATAGTTATAATGTCACGTAAAACTTTATAATGTTAATATATTATCAAATGAATAAATACATAAAATATTATAAATGAGTTTCTGAATAAAAAAAAGTCAATTGTCATAATTATAAACTTATAATATTCTATTTTATTACATAATTAAATTTTTTATTTAAATCTACATATAATATAATATACATCAATTTATTTAACTAATATATTATAATTATAATTTTACAATCCAAGGTGACGTTGTTTGTGACCATCTCATTGCCTTTAATTTGAGCTTACGAAAAAACGTGAAATTAAGCTACCGTTTCTCTTATTCATATTGGGCTGACCCAAAGTTTGAAACCTCTGGAAAGACCGACCTAGACCCAGTGGCAAATGTGGCCCATAAATCAGAGCCGTTGATTCGTGGCTTAAACAAGTCCACGCCATTTATACGCTGTACCCAAATCCACCACGGAGGCCCGGGATGACCGTAACCGTTGGATTCCCCACTCTCATCAGGAAACAAAAATCCTCACCGTTCATTTTCCACATCCGCTCCGCGCGGAGTGTAGGAAACCATTTCTCCTCTTCAAAGTCCTCTCCCTTTTCTACCAAAAAAAAAAAAAAGTCCTCTCCCTGACAGCATCTCGATTCACTCCCGAGCTGAATCGCCGTCGCGTCGGAGCTCATCTGCGACATTTCATGTTATGGTATGCAGCTTTTCAACTCCCTGCTTTCTTTGTTTTCATCAATTTCTGATGTTTTTATTAAAAAAAATTCCATCTTTGAGTATCTGTGCGATTTTCTTTTGTTAATTTTTGATGCAATCTGTAGTATCTAAGAGCTCAGATTATTAATGATGGCGAAACGTTGTTAAGAGTTTGATCTATTTCAATGGTGTTTTCCTGTGTTATATTTTGTTTGATTGCGGAGAAAGTAGTGGGAAATGAGAAAAAAAGAAAAGAAAAGAAAAGAATTTTCTTTTTTTGTTTAATGTGCATGTTAGGATTTTTGTTCTGGATAATGGGAGCTAGATTGAATGGAGCTGGATTCTCGCTTATTGGTGGAGGAAATGATTGTTTTAATTCGGGGTCAAAAGTTTGAAATGCATCTTAGCCACTGAAATATCTGAGCAAAACAAACGCAGTATTAGGGCTTGTTAAGGGATTGGTATAATACCACTTGCTTCGTTGGAATTAGATATCATGATGAATGTGAGCATTGGGGAAGGAATTGGTACCTTTAACTTGCATAAACAATGTTAAATTGTGAAGAATGTTCACTGTGAGTTAAAAAAGGATGGATAGGGTAATGCACTTATAATCTTTACATTGCAATTTCTGTTCTGTTTTCCTTTTTGGATTAAATTTTGAATTGTGGGTTAAGTGGAGTTAGTTCTGTGAACCTTGCAATAAGTTGGTTCTCTGAACGACTTTTTCCACTTTAGTTACAGTTAGTCTCAATATGTCCGTGGGACTGTCTGTGTATGCCTTTCTAGGGCTTAATTGGATATTGCATGCATCTCAATTTACCTTTTGATCTATGTACCATTATTGCATAGGCACCCATCAAGGGCATTTTGTCCCTGCAAAGGGCAGCTTTGAGGGGGCACAACAGTGAGAATTGGGGTATAGGTTTCAGATTATTCAGCACTCAAAGTGCAACCACTGCTAGTACTCCACAGCCTCCTCCGCCTCCCCCACCTCCAGAAAAAACCCATTTTGGGGGTCTAAAAGATGAAGATCGGATTTTCACCAATTTGTATGGCTTGCATGACCCTTTCCTTAAAGGTGCCATGAAACGGGGCGACTGGTATCGGACCAAGGACTTGGTACTCAAGGGTGCTGATTGGATTGTCAATGAAGTCAAGAAGTCTGGTCTCCGAGGACGTGGTGGTGCCGGTTTTCCATCTGGCCTTAAGTGGTCTTTCATGCCTAAAGCGTCTGATGGCCGTCCTTCCTATCTCGTTGTCAATGCTGATGAAAGTGAACCTGGAACCTGTAAGGACAGGGAAATTATGCGACATGACCCACATAAACTATTGGAGGGCTGTTTGATTGCTGGGGTAGGAATGAGGGCTAGCGCTGCTTATATATACATAAGAGGTGAATATGTAAATGAACGAAAGGCCCTTGAACAAGCTAGAAAAGAAGCTTATGAAGCTGGACTGCTTGGCAAAAATGCATGTGGATCAGGTTATGATTTTGATGTTCACATCCACTATGGTGCTGGAGCTTATATTTGTGGTGAAGAAACAGCACTTTTGGAGAGCCTCGAAGGGAAACAAGGTAAGCCTAGATTGAAGCCTCCTTTCCCCGCTAATGCAGGGTTGTATGGCTGTCCCACCACTGTCACAAATGTGGAAACAGTGGCTGTTTCTCCCACTATTTTAAGGTGTGGGCCAGAATGGTTTGCCAGTTTTGGGAGGAAGAATAATTCTGGGACAAAATTGTTTTGCATTTCGGGTCATGTGAATAAGCCTTGCACAGTAGAGGAGGAGATGAGTATACCACTTAAGGAGTTGATAGAGAGGCACTGTGGTGGTGTAAGAGGTGGATGGGACAATTTACTTGCAATAATACCAGGGGGTTCATCTGTCCCTCTTCTTCCCAAGAACATATGTGATGATGTGCTAATGGATTATGATGCACTCAAGGCTGTCCAGTCAGGACTGGGGACTGCTGCTGTGATTGTGATGGATAAGTCAACTGATGTTGTAGACGCAATTGCGAGGCTCTCTTACTTCTACAAGCATGAGAGTTGTGGCCAATGCACACCATGCAGGGAAGGCACAGGATGGTTATGGATGATCATGGAGAGATTGAAAGTTGGCAATGCAAAGTTGGAAGAGATTGATATGCTTCAGGAGGTGACTAAGCAGATTGAAGGGCACACGATCTGTGCTTTGGGAGATGCAGCAGCCTGGCCTGTACAGGGTCTTATTAGGCATTTCAGGCCAGAGCTTGAGAGAAGGATCAGAGAGCGTGCAGAGAGGGAGTTGCTGGAGGCTTCAGCTTAGGTTTCTAATCACAGGTTGCTTCTCGTGCCCTTTTTTGCTCCTGTTTTATGTGTCTTCCTACCAAACGATGAAGTTACTTTCAGCTTTTGCAGTTGATCATTTTTTTTATAAAGTTGAAATATGCTTAAGTAGTGTGAAAATGTTGGCTATGGAATTGGGATTCCATTATTCATCTCTTTGGTTTGTGATTTGTGAGACAACTTGTGTAAATAGTCATGCGTGGCACACTTACACACAAGGATTGAAAAGACAAGAAAGAAAAAGATAGGAAGGACCATAAGGCATCTAATGTGGGGAATGCTGCTCGCTCTTTCTTTCCTTCTTTTTTTTTTTGGCTAAACCGTCAATTGATTGGAAATGTTGCCTTCAGTCTCTTAGATTCAATTCTGCGTGATACTTAAGTAAAATGTCTTAAATTATCTGATGGGTTGTCTTATTCTTTGCAGGGAGTTTCCTGTGCTGGTTGCTATTCTGAATAAAATTCTTGTAACCAAAATTTGGATCATACATGACACAGGCATCTGGCAGTGTTGTTAGTTTTCTGTTTCTTTTCTTGAATTGTGAAAAATAATGAATATTTCTCCGTATAAGGGCCAATGAGACCGCTGAGGCTTTTGTTTCCATGTTATTCCAAAAACATAAATCTTTTTGGCTCATTTGAGTGAACATTGTTAATTATTTCCTTGAGAAACATCTAATGATATTTGATACTCTGTTTAGTAATGATAATGATGATGTGTTCATAATTTGGTGACCAGAAAATGATAGTTGTATGATGTAGATTACAAAATGATATTTGCATGAATGGTAATTATTTCACTGAAGCATGATGGACTCCAATGCATGAACTCAGGTATTGATTGTCTGACTCGTACTTGTTGATCCGATGGTAGAATTAATCTAAACC